ATTTTCATGTGACACATCCAATCCAGATACGATAAAATTACAATTCTGTAATTCCTCATTACCCGTCGATCAAAGAGTAGATGATCTCATTTTACGCCTGAATTTGGATGAGAAAATATCACAATTGGGTAACACTGCACCAGCCATTCCGCGGCTAAATATCCCTGCTTATGAGTGGTGGTCGGAGGCGTTACATGGCCTATCGATGGAAGGATTAGGGGTGAAATTTAATGGAAGTATTAAAGCTGCAACTCAGTTCCCTCAGATCATTATTACTGCTTCAACTTTTGATGAACATCTCTGGTATCGCATTGCTCAGGTATAAATTGATTTTCTCTTTTTACGCTCTGCTACAGAACACTTTATTGACTCTCTGGTTGATTTTATACGCGACGTTTAATTGACACACAACATTAAGCAGAGGAGGGATAGAGGGTTTGTTTGTGTGCATATATTTAAGTTTTCGAATCCCCTTGACATAAGATTTTTTTTAATCTTTAGTTTGAGGGAATAGTTGTAAAAGTATCATGATGTAGAGTTGATCATTTGGACCTTTCAGTATATACCAAATCTGCCAAATCACTCATGTTATGATCTTCTACATCTGAATATTTGTGTTCCGTCATCTAGCTTATGTTCTTCCTGTAGCATTCAGAACAAATGACTATGAAATTTGGTTGATACTTCCACATTTTATGGTTAACATAGGAGACATCTCTATTTTTTCCCCGGGTATACAAAGTAGTACTAGCTACTTCCCATTTGATTTGGGAAACATTTTTTCTTAGAGTGACCACTCGATCTTTGAAATTAACTTTTGGTATTTGATCGATAAAACTTGTAAGAAGATCCAACAGATAATTATATGGCAAATACAGAAATTTGAATGAACACATTAAATAGCTAGTATTATAAGATGTTGTACTTTGTGTAGGCAATTTCGAGAGAGGCAAGAGCAGTGTACAATGCAGGTGAACTAAAGGGAATGACATTTTGGGCACCAAATGTGAACATATTAAGGGATCCAAGATGGGGAAGAGCACAAGAAACAGCTGGGGAAGACCCGATGATGGTAGGAAAATACGCGGTGGCATATGTAAGAGGACTTCAGGGGGATAGTTTTGAAGGTGGGAAGCTCAAAGATGGGCATCTTCAAGCTTCAGCTTGCTGCAAGCACTTTGCTGCTCAAGATTTGGATTACTGGAACGGCCACCATCGTTTCACATTCGATGCTCAAGTCAGTAACTAACCTGCTATCACATGTTAAATTACTTTTATTATTCAATTTCACCTTTTGTTTACCAAGAAGATTGATATTGTTTTCTAATACTACAATGTGTCCTTCAGGTTACACCACAGGATATGGCAGATTCATTTCAACCACCCTTCAAGACTTGTGTGGAAGAAGGAAAAGCTACCAGTCTAATGTGTGCTTATAGTCGTCTCAATGGGGTCTCAAACTGCGCTAACTATGATCTCCTGACCAAGACTGCTCGCGGACAGTGGGGTTTCAATGGGTAAAATTTTGATGTAAATTAAGAAACAAATGTCTGATACCAAGTTATTACTCATAAGATGTTAAATGATTTCAGCAATCTTAAAACTAACTATTGTCTATTGCTGAAAAGTTACATTGTATCAGATTGTGATGCAATTCGCGTTATGCGTGATTCCCATGGATACACAGCTGAAGATGCAGTTGCAGCTTCTCTCAAAGCTGGTAAGTAGTACTCTATTTAATTTCTCTGCTCTCACTTTTCTGTAAACTCAATGATGTCTTTCCTGTTACTGAAAGACATCATTGACAAAAAGTTCTATTTGTCTCAACTATCTGACCTTTTCCTTGTCAACTTCTATTTAGGTATGGATGTGAACTGCGGTTCATTCGTGGCAAACTACACAAGATTAGCATTGGAGAAGCAGAAATTACAAGAATCTGATATAGACAGAGCTCTTCGCAATATTTTCTCCATTAGAATGAGGTTAGGACTATTCAATGGTGATCCAAAAAAACTGGAATACGGTGACATTGCTCCTGCAGAGATTTGTAGTCAAGAGCACCAGGATCTATCTCTTGAAGCAGCAAAAAATGGCATTGTCCTTCTAAAGAATTCTGCCAAACTTCTTCCACTTTCTAAGATAAAAACAACATCCCTTGCTATAATAGGTCCAAAAGCAAACAATTCCGAATTACTTTTAGGTAACTATGCAGGCATTCCCTGCAAAAATGTTTCGTTACTCCAAGGATTTCAAGGCGTTGTGAAAAACATAGGCTACCATCCAGGCTGCAATTTTGTCAACTGTACTTCTGCTGCAATAGATGAAGCAGTAGATGTTGCTAAAAAGGCTCAGTATGTTGTTTTAATAATGGGATTAGACCAGCAAGTGGAGAGGGAGAACTGGGATCGCGTAGATTTAGGACTACCTGGACAACAAGAGATTCTTATTAACGCAGTAGCCGAGGCTGCTGTAGAACCTGTTATACTAGTGTTAGTAAGTGGAGGTCCTATTGATATTTCTTTTGCCAAGAACCACCCGAAAATCGGGGGCATCTTGTGGATTGGTTATCCTGGAGAAGGTGGAGCAGCTGCACTAACACAGATTCTTTTTGGTGAACATAATCCAGGTTAACTTAACTTAAACATCAATAATCTTTAGTACTTAATCCGTTTTGTCGAAAAACTTGCTTAATATGCTAATCACATTTAACCTTACAGGGGGCAGGTTACCAGTAACATGGTATCCTAAGGACTTCATAAAAGTACCAATGACAGACATGAACATGAGGCCTAATTCATCGACTGGATATCCAGGGCGAACTTACAAATTCTACAAAGGGCCAAAAGTTTATGAATTTGGCTATGGTCTTAGCTACACAAATTATTCATACAACATCACATCTGTCAGCCATGACAAACTCTATTTCATTAACCAAACATCATCAGACAAGAGAAGAAAACACGGTTCACATATTCATAATATTGCAGTTTCGAAATTTGGCTCAGAGGTTTGCAACAAGGCGAAGATATCAGTTAAGGTTGTGGTGAGAAACAAGGGGAAACTAGGTGGTAAACATCCTGTGTTGTTGTTTGTTAGGCATTCTAAAGTGAAGAATGATGAAATTCCAAGAAAGCAGTTGATTGGATTCAAAAGTGTACATTTAGGTGCAAGAGAAAAAAGTAAGATTAAATTTATTGTGAGCCCTTGTGAACACTTTAGCAGGGCTAATAAGCATGGTATATCAGTAATTGATGAAGGCAAATATTATCTTGTTGTGGGAGATAAGAAATATCCTGTTACTGTTTCTATATGAAACCTTAAATCACATATAAAAATACAGTCCTTAATGATTAGATCATACTTGTAGTGTGCATTATAATCCTGTAAAGAGGATTCAATATCACCTTATTGAGCAGAATAAATATGTTAATTTCTTGATTTTTATTGTTATTGATTAACTGGGTAATTGAGAGGTGGGAATGAGAAATGAATAGTTGTTTTCGTGATGAATTTATTTTTAAAATTTATGAGGAAGAGTGACATAAATGGAAGTTGGTTCCTCCTGCTTCTATGGTTCTTATGAGTTTGTGTTACATAGATTTTCTCATTGATGTGTGTTATACAAAGATTGATATCCTTTTTTGCAGTTCAATATGATATTTTTCTCCTCGTGGTCGATTTAGATCAATAGACTGGTCAATTTATCAACCGGTGATCTTCCTATTTTTCATCCGCTTGATCTATCTATCCAATTTCTTATAGTTAAATGAACTACATTATTTTAGTAAAAGCTAATTGAAAGCATATATTAAAATTACATAATCTTTAATTTCAGAAATGTCAACTTAATGTTATTTAATGTATCTTCAATTATTTGAAATTGGTGCTCTAAATTATCTAACATGATTTTGAATATAAAATGAACGATATTTCAATTACCTTGTAGCTCGCACAATTACTCGAGGCTATATTATAGAAGCTTTTTTTAATCCTTGAAGTTTTGTTCATCTTCTTTAACTATTAGTACAATGTTAGGCATACTTCAGTTGCAGGGATTCAAACCCGCGCTGGCGAGCATGCCTCACACCACTGGTCCGTAGAATTTCATTGTATCAAGGATGTCCAATGTATTAGATTTAACCGTCTTAAATAATATTTTACTTATATATACAATATAATTTTTCGGACATCATTGGAACACTGTAGCTCCGCCTCTGCCCACACTCTCTTTTTAACCTCAAGGGTTTCCTAGTTATTGTTGTCTTGTAATACTTTATGTCCCTTTTTGCAAGGGGTTTATAGTTTTATACACTTGTATCCGCATACAAAGACGGAGTTTTAGGTTAAAAACATCATGAATTATGATTCAAACCTAAAGTACATCCTTGTGTTACTCTAGTAAACAAAATACATCCCTAAACTAATTCAAAAGTTGCAACAATCATCCATCTGTTTAAGTTTCTGTCAAAAACTAACGACATACACATAAACCACATCATTTTCTCCTTTAATTTCTCATTTTTTTACCTAACACGTAAAAGGCATTTTGACCTAGCTTAGCATATCTTTGGTATTGTGTGTTCCTTTAGAAAATAAGTTAATCTCTTTCAAGATGAAGAGAACAAAAATTAATTAATGTCACTCGTCAATCATATTAACCAATTGAAACACTTTTGGATAGAGAAAAATTATGGACTTGATTTTTGCTTTTATGTGTGAAGCACAACTATATATAGCGTAGAATACAAAGCTATAGCTCTTCAATTGTTAAAGGTGTAAAGAGTTAAGTATATGGTTTCTCTATCCAAAAGCTTTAGGCTTTTCAGAAGGAAAGAAAAAAAGATTGTTGAAGACGGAAAGGAAGAATAGAATAGGGATATTTGAGGTGGAGGCAGTTAGTTTTTGGCAGAAACTAAACAGAAGGGTGATTGATTGTTGCAACTTTTAATTTTAAATTAGTCGAGGAATGTATTTTGTTTAGTATAATAACAGGGGATGTATTTTTTGTTTTTTTAAGTACCCTAAAATATTTAAGCAAAGGAAATTCCTAAAATACCCTGACCCAGGGTAAACAGAGAAGTCAACTGGTAAGAACCGCCGCCGCTACTGTCTGGTTTCTGTCGCGGCTCTCCGATATATATATCTCTAACAGCCATCTCCGGCGGTATGTTATCCAAAAGAGCAATCTTGCATCTTTTGTTCTGCTATTTCTTTCTTTCTTTCTGTTCCAGGGACTATATTTTAGTTTTAATTTCTTCGATTAGGTTTTTACTCTTTCTCTTTTGGTTTCTAAACAACTCTATTGTCGTGATTGATTGTGGTAGTTGTATGAACAAAGAAAAATGCAAACTTTAGCTCATTCTAAGTTATGCAGGTAATTCATGGGGAAAAGACAGCAACTTTCCATTAATTTTGCTCTAAATAAGGTAATTAATGCTACAAGACTTGTGCTTTATGCATTTTTTATTTGTTTGTCTCATACATTGATTTGATGAAACTGTTCTAATATTTAGTGTCCTTGCACTCAAGAAGATCGCATTAGTCAGTTGCCTGATCATATTCTGGTTCATATACTGTCTTTCCTTACCATTAAGGAAGCAACATACATTAGTCTCCTCTCCAAGAGGTGGTTACCCGTGTGGAAATATATTCCTCGACTTGATTTTGATGCCACCGAACCATTACACCAAGTATTTTTGAATCACAAACTAAGGAAAATGCATATGAAGAAGTATGTGAGATGGGTTAACCGTACTTTACACAAGTGTGAAGTACATAGATTAGACCAATTTCGTGTTTGCTTCGATTTAAACAAATTTGCCCAGCATGAGATTGACAAGTGGCTTGAGTTTGCCTTTGCTAGGCAAGTCCAAAGGCTAGAGTTGGACTTGTTAAAAGGTGGGAAGGAGACTCGAGATTTTGATTATTGCTACACTTTCCCGGCTCAGCTCCTTGGTCTCAATCATAAGTTGCCACCTCTCTGGCATAATTTTATGTCTGTAAAGGTACTATTATTGAAGTCAGTAAATGTGACAGGCGAAGTTCTTGAGTTCTTCCTTCATAACTGCCCGTTTCTTGAAGAAATGGTGGTTCATGGATCTGGAACGCTGGTAAATTTGCAGGTCATTGGTCCTTCCCTCAAGTTGAAACACTTGGAAATTTGGCGCTGCCAGTGTTTAGAATCACTTAAAATCCATGATACTAACCTTGTAACACTTGTGGCTTCAGCAGCAACCAAATTATTGCTCTCAAACGCTCCTATGCTGATCAAGGTAGAGATTGTTGGTGCATTCAGGCCTATTCTGAAAGACATATTGGCTCCGATTTCCTGTGTTCTCTCTCAGCTGGAGGTCCTCAAAATAACTTCCTCTGATGGATTGGGATTGGTTAGTGAACAAAAATTGTGAAATCTCTATCCTACTACTTTGCATGTGCTAATTGGTTTGTTTTCAATATCTCCCAGGGGAATTACAAGTTTCCTAAATTTACCAAGCTCAAGAAATTTGTCGTTCATGTTTTTGCATGGAGAGACACATCTCTCTTAGGTTGCACACATGTGATAGGGGCTGCGCCACTGTTGGAGGAATTTGAGTTGAAGGTAAGTATCAATTTTAATTTGATCATTTTGAGTTCTGGTTCAAGAAATTAGTGCTGCTTGCTTCAACACTTCAATTCAGTTACATCACAAATCAACCTCAGGTAGAATAGGTTATGACAAGCTGGACATGAGTGTGTATTACTTCTAGTAGTCCCCTTCCTTATGTAGGTGTCCATTCTTCTATAGGTTGTGGACAGCTGAGTTGACTTAAGGCATTTATCACCTGAAACCAAATCTGATCTTTCACAACTCTTCCACTTAAAATATCTTACCGAATTACTGCCTTAAAATCTTACAGCTCGTTTGGTATGGAGGTATGGTGGCAGAATGGAATTATGATTCTGGCATTTCGTTGGTATCACTAATTCTGTCGGCGACTTGTAATTGACCGATTCCCCTGTCAATCAACGTTTTCATTTCATAGACATTTTGTTGTACAATGACTATCTTGCTGAAAAACTTGTCCAAAAACTTCGTACTATTAACCCACTTGTCCTCATTTTGTGAACCAATTTCAAAACAGAACAAGCCAGCAGTAAGGTTGAGAATTAAGTTGCCATTGGTAGTGGATAGGTAGTCCTATGAAGGATGAATAGAGTAGAATAGAGGCTGTGGAGATGAGGACTTGGACAATGTTGTTGCGAATCAAGAGAACACTTGGTAGGAGGAGCATCAGGAGTTTGTATTCCAACTAAATGACTGAGGAATAGGTGTTTGAATTGATGGTATTTTCTGGTAATGGAGCTGGTGATATAGAGAATACTTGAGGTAGAGGTTTTATGTTGGGAAACAAGCTATTTTTGAAGAGGTAAGCTGGCCCTTTATTATGAAATAAATTTCAAATAGTTAATGATGAGATAGAAATAGTATTGTGATAATTTAATAGAACCTCGTTTAGTGTAAAGCAGTTTTTTCATGAATACAATGTTCACAGACTCTAGCTGAGTATTTCATTGGTAAATCAATTCCAGGTTTGAAAGTTCCTTTGGATTCCAATGTATATGGACCTGGTATGGGATGAAGTAACGGGGTAAATGTCTAGTTTATTTTATTTTCTGTAATTAAGCTATTTTAGAGTCTTAGTATTTCTCAATAGCTTGCAGATGAAAGTCACAAGTTTTTGATGGCAAAATTCATAGTCAACAAGTAATTATTTCTGAAAGTTCTGCAGCCTAACGGATAGATTCCCTGAATAGAACTTTCATTTTGATATGATATATTATCTAATTTGGCGATTATTTATTTCTCAGCACACCAACCATTCACTTCATATACCTTGAGTATATTGGCCTAGGAAAAGATATTGTAAAAGGAAAAGTAGGATAGCCGTCATTTATTTCCTGTGGAACTCATTGCCTTGGGACATAAAATAACTTTCAAAAATTTATGTGTAAGCACATTGAACAACATTTGTAAAGTTGAAAATTAACTGTAGAATTACTCTATCTAAGTTTTTTCTTAGAATGCTAACCTGAAATGTGATCATAAGCAGGGAAGTTGATAACAGTCAAGAACAAGAATCCTTTAAATTTACTTCGAAGTGATATTTGAATAAAGTTACCTGGTTTTAATGTTGGAAAAGAAAATCATTTGAGATTTTGAAGGGTCAGAGAAAAGTTGAATGCTTTGAGTTTGAAGCACTCGAGGAAATAAGATCAAAATACGAACAACTCCAAAAGTTCTCTTATCTAAACGTATTTTGTTGTTTGAACAAATTTGAAATGAAATTATAAATGTTTACAGCAGCTTTCTTTGATCTCCTTGATTAAAATAGCAGAAGATATATGTTTAGATGTTTTCGACGTTTATATTTTGAGTGATGAATGTCCGGATGAGCAACTATAGATGCTTTCTGAGGGATGGAAAATCTATACTTCTGTTCTAGGTTATTTCTTTAAACGAGTTACTACTTTGGTGGTTATTTATGCATTCAGTTCATGGTTTGATAAAAAAAGATGGATGCTAAGTAGTAGAGATACCAAGAAAACATAATAAATAGTTCCAATGAGGGAGGGAGTTAAGTGGAGCTATGTTGCTCGGACTGTTCGACGGGTGCGTGTCGGATTGAAGGATCTGACATAGGTGCGGCAACATTTTTGGAGAGTCCGAGCAACTTAGAAGTGGAGAGGAGACCAGATCTTTAGTTCCATTCTGGGCGACTTTGGGACAAATTGACCTGAATACTGGGTAATGGTATGTGGATTTTGCTAGTGTTATGTTGTAACTCGTAAGTTCCCATGAATTGCTTTTACCTTGATGGATGCCCAACTTAGTGATTCTTCTCATTTCCAATATACTTTTGTCATATTTATGCTTGTGTAACTGTGGTTCAATTTTCTTGTTGACAGTTGGTTTGGTTCAAACCCTTGAGGGTAAAAAGAGAGTGTAAGAAGATGGTAAGTTGTCCTCTCCGTCACCTCAAAGTGATCAGGTTGTGTGGATATTTTGGCCGTACATGCGAATTTGAGCTCGTTAAATATTTTTTGGAAAATGCTATTGTGCTCGAGAAAATTATTATTGATCCTCGTTCTCAAATTGTTACTCCTGTGTTGTCACTTTCGACAATTGAAATGGAGCAAATGTCAAGAAATTTTGCTAAGCTCCAACTTGAAGGTGAAGTTCCTCCGCGTATTGAGTTGGTGATATTGTGAAAGTAAGTTAATTACCGAAAAAACATATGTATGTTTGTTTCCAGTTATTTGGGCCTTCTGAAGGAAAATCTTCTGATTGTATTCCAGAGGGAATTCATGTATAATCTAATTTATATATATTGGAATTTGCTAATTTTCTCAAGGGGATCCACTCCTCTCCTCTGTGTTGTTGGTTGTAAATTATATTTAAAAAATCTCATTGTAGGATCAAAAACTATTTTTTTGAAAAAATCACTCGTGGCGGGGTGCAGGGTGGGCTTACATGGGGAAGACTATTAACAAATTTAAAACAAGTTATCGTTTTGATTCAATGATAAGATCATAATATATGTGAGAAAACATAAAAGTATATATATTATTAAGAAATCACAACAATAATGAATAAATTAGTACAATCAAGTTCATTCAGGAAGAAATAAAATTAAGTTTGGACGGGTTGAAAACAACAAATTATTCTATCCAGATCGGGTTAAATTCTCTTCGTAAGAGGAGAGGGTGAATTCCTCTGGCTGAGGAGAATGCCTCGCCACAAAAGCGTCACCGGGAACTCATCCTTTTAATTGTACTAGGGGAATGTGGCCCGTGCTGGCGGCATGGAAAACGTTATATCAAAATTTAATATCTGAGTAAAAGTTGAATTGTTAATACGTATCGTAAAGTGTAAAACGTACTTAAAGAAGATAAACTTTTTACATATTACTTAATTGTTTGATGATATTTGCTAAGGAATCAAGTTTACAAGATAGGTATGTACATTTCATTTACATGATAAAAAAATGCAATGCTTCGTACGAAAGGTTAACTAAGGTGAGTTATTGTGGTCTTTGAACATAACATTGAGACCTGTTACATTAGGTAGAGAAGATGGATTAGTATTCATGAAAATATCTTGAAAAAAAGATTGAATCACAATTAGTTGTTACATATAGATATAAGTACAGATTTGTCACTTCTATTTTTTTAAGTTTATGAAAATACACATGAACCAACCATATCCTCGATAATGTAGCAAAAGGTGGCTCTATCCATATTTCAAAAGCGAGAAACAAAAGATTTTCCACTGGCGGTAAAATTAAAATACAAGAGTAAGTTGCATTTGTAAGCAAAAAAATGGTCTATAAACAAAATAGTTATAAGCTAAAAATTAAATGTTTCAACTCCATTTTAAAAAGAATTCAGTTTCTAGCTTCAGAAGTACGTGACTATCTAAATTTCACTTAGTTATATTGTAGTACTAATGCAAAGGATTTACTCAACCTTTGATGAGTCATTTTTACCAAATTGTCAATTCTTTTGGTGGTGTTTCATCTTCTAATGAGGTTCTTCCTGTCATTAAGGTACTAGTTACTTTCTTTGAGTTTGCGCTTAAAATATGATAAGTATTTGAGATGATATAAAGGGACTAATGATCCAGACCCCAATTGAATTAATCAGGATTATACTTTCTTTTTCGTTTCCAAAAACTGTGTCTTGTCTAATGCCTTATTTGAAGTCCCCAGTCATTTTCCTTACTCGAAGTCCTATTCAATTCAACTTTATTTGTTTGTGCTTCAACTAAGGAAATCTTTTTCTTATCGATCATCTTGCATCGTATTATAGTTCACGACGTCTAGCTTGTTTTATTCTCGGTGTGTTTTTTTTTTGCAAAACTTTGATCTACTTGTTTTGTTTTTATCACACATTTTTCAACACCATTTTTTTACCACTGGTTAACATTTATTCACACATTATAGAATTATAAACATATTATATATGTACAAATCCAATTTCGATATGAAAAATATTACTTGCTAATAGGAATATTATATAGCCACACGTGTATATTTGATATTCCTACTGCACTACCACCTCACAGAGGACTCTGAGATCACATAATTCCACTCATAGACAATGCAGTACCTATTAGTAAGAGACCTTACAGGTTTCCTGGAGTGAAGAAGGATATTATTGAGAAGTTGGTACAGGAGATGCTAGACCAAGGGGTTGTACATCACAATACTAGTCCATATGCATCCCCAGTTGTGTTAGTTGGAAAGAAGGATGGTAGTTGGAGACTTTGTATTGATTACAGGGATCTGAATCATTTAACAATGAAGGATAAATTCCCAATCCCTATTATTGAGGATCTATTGGATGAGTTGGGGGTGCTGAGGTTCTCTAAGATTGATCTTAGAGCTGGCTATCACCAATTGAGAATGGCAGAATCTGATGTGCATAAAACAACTTTCAAAACTCGTGAGGGTCATTATGAGTGCCCTTTGGGTTAGCCAATGCTCCTTCATCATTCCAAAGTCTTATGAATTCAGTTTTCAAACCATTACTCAGAAAATCAGTGTTAGTTTTCTTTGATGACATTTTGGTTTATAGCAGAAATATGTTTGCTCATGTGGATCACTTAAGAACTGTGTTTGAGTTGATGAAGAACCATCAGTTGTATGCTAAAGCATCTAAGTGTGCTTTTGGGGGTAAAAGAAGTGGAGTACTTAGGACATTTTATCAATGCTAAGGGAGTAGCAACTGATCCTAAGAAGGTATTTGCAGTTCAAGCCTGGGAACTGCCTGCTACCATCAAGCAACACAAAGGTTTTCTTGGTCTAGCAGGGTACTATATGAGGTTCATTAAGGGATTTGGAGCTATATGCAAACCTCTACATGACTTACTTAAAAGGGACAACTTTGCTTGGACCGAAGAAGTTACTGCAACCTTCATGACTCTCAAAGAAGCCTTAGTGACTGCTCATGTTCTGGCCTTGCCAAACTATGTTGAACCTTTTGTTATTGAAACAGATGTAAGATGCAAGTGGTACAGGTATTGGTGTTGTCCTGATGCAGCAGGGGCACCCTATTGCCTATATTAGTAAAATACTGGCCCTTAGACACCAGTCCATGTGTGTTTATGATAGAGAATTGTTGGCATTGGTTTTTGTTGTGACTAAGTGGTCACATTATTTGTTAAGTAGACCCTTCATTGTCCGAACTCATGACCAGAAGGCATTGAAACATCTGCTAGAACAAACCATACACACTGATTTCTAGGTGGCTGGTATCTCAAAGCTCATGGCTTTTGACTTTACTATTGAATACAAAAAGGGACTGGACAGCAAGGCTGCTGATGCTCTTTCCAAGAATTAAGAGGCAGAGCTATTGGTTTTATCTTTGTTTACACCCCATGATACACTATTCTATCATATTCAACAATCTTGGACTTCTGATGCTGCTTTACAGACCTTGATCACTAAACTGATAGTACAGCCTTATAAATTCTTTACTTGGATTAATTCTCAGCTTAGGTGGAAGGGAAGATTTGTGGTAGGATTTGACCCTCAGCTGAGAGAACACATTATTCAGTTGTGGCATTCTATACCTCAGGGTGGCCATTCTGGAAAGGATGCTACCATTAGGAGATTGCAATCCCTATTCTACTGGAAGACCACGGTCCTAGATATCAGGAGTTTCATTAATAGATGTGATGTGTGCCAGAGACACAAGTATGATGCCTCAGCTTATCTTGGCTTAATTCAATCTCTACTTATCCCTGAAGGTGTTTAGACTGACATTAGCCTAGATTTCATTGAGGGTTTGCCTAAATCTAAAGGCAAGGATGTCATTCTAGTGGTGGTTGATAGGTTGAGTAAGTATGGCCATTTCATTTGCTTAAAGCATCCTTGCACCGCTCAGAGTGTAGCTCAAAGCTTCTTGGACAATGTGTTTCGACTGCATGGTATTCCCTCTACTATAGTTAGTGATAGAGACACTGTTTTCTTGAATTCCTTTTGGCAAGAATTGTTCACCTTGCAAGGAGTTCAGTTGCATAAATCTACAGCCTACCATCCTCAAACAGATGGTCAGACTGAGGTCTTGAACAGGACCTTAGAGACTTATCTGAGGTGTTTCTGCTCAGATAAACCCTTGGAGTGGGTTGATCACTTGCCTCTTGTTGAGTGGTGGTACAACACAACCTATCATTTAGCTATCAAATGCCCCCCCTTATGAAGTTCTTTATGGTCAAAAGCCACCTATTCATCTTCCATATTTGGCTGGTGAATCCTCTAATGAGTTGGTTGATAGGTCCCTGGAGGCTAGAGAAGCTATTATTGCCTTGCTGAAGTTCCAATTATCCAGGGCTCAACAAAGAATGAAAGATCTGGCCAGTAAACACAGGTCTGACAGACAATTTAGTGTGGGTGATTGGGTCTATTTAAAGCTACAGCCTTACAAGCAGTTCTCTGTGGCCACTAGACCCTTTAACAAGCTAGTTGCTAAGTACTTTGGTCCCTATCTGATTGATGCTAAGATTGGGGAAGTTGCTTATAAGCTTTTGCTCCCAGCAGATGTGTTGATCCATCCTACTTTTCATGTATCACAGTTGAAAAAATGCCATGAAGTACCTGTTGTACTCAACCACCCTCCAGTGTTACATATGTCTAATCCCTACTGCCCCTTGTCTGAGGCTATATTAGAGACGAGGATGATCAAGAGGGGTAATAAGGCTATTTGTCAGGTGTTAGTTAAATGGCTGGGAATTGATACAGCCCAGGCCACCTGGGAAATTCTCATAGAGTTGCAACATCGATTTCCTTCATTCCAGCTTTGAGGACAAGGTTATTCTTCAAATGGGGGGTATTGATGCAAGTATATGTAGTCGAGTTAAAATGCATGTAAGGGAATCTGGAAATCTGTTAGAAAACTGTTTAAATTGTTAGGCAGTTAACACTGTTCAGCTGTCAAGAAATTAGTTAGTTAGTTACTTTTGTTGTATTCTTCTTTAGTCATTTTACCCATTGATTAGTTGTATAAATACATGGGAAATGTACTGATTCACTCATTCATGAATAATATCAATCTCTTCTTTCTTCTCTCTTCTACATCCTTTTAGCTAATCTTCTCGGTTGAATCCCAGAATCAGCCTTCTTCTTCTTCAAGCCTTAGCTCCTAGATTAACTACTATCATCGTGATTGAGTGTGAGTGCATCACGGCTGCTCGCGGACAGTGGGGTTTCAACTGGTAAAAATAAATGTCTGATATTACTCCTTATAAGATGGCATATGATTTCAGCAATCTTAGAACTAACTATTGTCTATTGCTGAGAAGTTACATTGTATTAGATTGCGATGCTCAATGATGTTTTTCCTGTTACTGAA